CTTGGTTGTCTTTAGTTTTCTTAATGGTGTCTGTTGAAGCACAAAATATTTTAATTTTGATGTAGTACAATTAATCTAATTTTTCCTTTGTTGATCGTGTTTTGGTGTCATACCTAAGAATCCATTACTAAATCCAAGGTCACAAAGATTTACCTCTATATTTTCTTCTAAGAATTTTATAATTTTAGCTCTTAGATCTTTGATGCATTTGGCGTTAATTTTTAAAGTATGTTTTTATTGATTTGAGAGAGAGAGGAAGGGAGAGGGATAGAGTGATAGAAACATTGATGAGAGAAAGACCATCAATTGACTGCCTCCTTTAGTTTTCTTACTGAGGATAGAGCCCAAAACCTGGGCATGTGCCCTGACTGGGAATTGAACCGGGGACCTCTTGGGTCAGTGCTCAACCACTGAACTACATTGGCCGAGCTGGAGTTAATTTTTGTATATGATGTGAGGCTGGGCTCCAGCTTCATTTTTTGCATGTGGAATCACAGTTGTGTCACCACCATTTGTTGAAAGGACTATTCTTTCCACATTGAGCGGTTTTGGCATTCTTTGTTGAAAGTCAGTTGGCCATAGATATATGGGTTTACTTATGGACTTTCAGTTCTTTTGACTAATCCACATGTCTATTCTTTTGCCAGAACTATATTGTCTTGATTAAAATTGTTTTACAGTAAGTTTTGAAATCAGGATGTGAGTCTTCCTACTTTTTCTTTTTGAAGGTTGTTTGGGCTCTTCTGGGTCCCTTTTAATTCTGTATGAATTTTAGAACGAGCTTGTCAATTTCTACAAAGAAGTCAGCTGGGATTCTGAGAGGGATTTTATTGTGTCTGTAGATCAATTTGGGGAGCATTGCCATCTTAACAATGTTAAGTCTTCCAGTTCATGAACATGTAGTGTTTTACCATTGATTTAGATCTTTAATTTCTCTGAATGATGTTTTGTAGTTTTTAGAGTATAAGTTTTGCACTTCTTTCATTAAATTAACAAATTTAATATTTTATTTTTTCATGCTATTATATTTTATTAAATATTTTATTTTTCATGCTATTTAAATAGTTTTCTTAACTTTCAGATCATTCTTTGCAAGTATATAGAAATACAGTTGATTTTTGTCTATTGTGTCCTCCAACTTGATTATTAGTTCTAATATTTTTTAGTGGATTCCTTAGGATTTTCTATATACACGATAATGTCATCTCCAAAAAGAGATACAGCTGACTCTTGAACAATACCAGGGTCAGGACACTGACACCCCCACCCCTCTTCATTGTAAATCCATGTATAACTTTTAACTACCCAAAAATGTAACTACAGTCACTTTTTATAGGAGGATTGGTTACAGGACCCCCTGCAGATTCTAAAATCTGCATATGTTCAAGTCCCTCCACATCTGGGAGCAAAAATACTGTCTTTGATCTGCTGTTGGTTGAATCTGTGGATGCAGAAATCCATGAATATGGAGGGATGACTGAATAGTTATTGGAAAAAATCTGCATATAAGTGGATCTACACAGTTCAAACCCATATTGTTCAAGGGTCAGCTGTTATTTTACTTCTTCCTTTTCAATCTTGATGCATTTTATTTCTGTTGCCTACATGCTCTGACTAGAATCTCCATTACAATCTTGACTAGAACTGGCAAGAGTAGATATTCTTGCCTTTTCCTTCCTGATCTTAGTGGGAAAAGAAAGCATTGCCTTTCACCATTAAGTATGATACCTGTGGATATTTTGTAAATAGTTGAGGGAATTCCCTTTTGTTTAGAGTTTTTAAAAATAGATTTTATATTTTAGAGTGGTTTTAGGTTCACAGAAAAATTAAGTGGAAAGTACAGAGATTCCTTATATATTTCTCTCTACACGAGCACAGTCTCCCCAAGTGTAATCATCCTGTACCACAGCCATATATTTGTTATAGTAAATAAACCTACATTGACAAGTCATTATCACCCCAAACCCATAGTTTGCATTAGATTTCCCTCATGATGTTTTACATTCTAGAGATTTTCACATATGTATTAATGACATTTATCTACCGTTATAGTATCATACAAGTTAGTTTCACTGCACTAAAAATCCTCTGCCTGTCTAACAAACCTTTCTTGTCTTTCTTCCATCCTAACCCCTGGTGAGCACTGATCTTTGTACTTTTTTCATAGTTTTGCCTTTTCTAGAATGTCATATAGTTGGAATCATACAGTATGTGGCCTTTTCAGATTAGCTTCTTTCAGTTAGTGATAATGCATTCAAGGTTCCTCTATCTCTTTTCATGGCTTGATAGCTCATTTCTTTTTAATGCTAAATAATATTTTATTGTCTGGATGTACCACAGTTAGTTTATCTATTCACCTTCTAAAGCGATGCCATGGTGGCTTCCAAGTTTTGACAGTTATGAATAAAGCTACTTATAAAGATGTTTATATAAATAAAGATGTTTATAAGAATCTGTGGACAGGTTTTGGAGTAGACATAGTTAGTTTTTAACTTATTTGGGTAAATATCAAGGACTGTGACTGCTGGACAATATAGTAAGTAAGGTTAAAATGGAAGAAACTGCCAAAATGTCTTCCAAGGTGAGAATACCATTTTGCATTCCCAGCAGCAATGAATGAGAGTACCTTTTGCTCCACATCCTCACCAGCATTTGGTGTTGTCAGTGTTATGCATTTTGTGCATTCTAATAGGTGTGTAGTGTTATCTTGTTTTAATTTTCAGTTCCCTAATGACAAATGATGTAAAGCATATTTTTATGTAATTATTTGCCATTTGTATATCTTTTTTGGTAAGATGTCTTCAGATCTTTTGCCTATATTTAATCATGTTGTTTATTTTATTGTTGAGTTTTAAGAGTTTTTTGTATATTTTAGATGATAGTCTTTTATCAGATACATCTTTTGCAAATATTTTCTCCCAGTCTGTGGGAGAAAGACTTGTTTTTTATTTTCTTGAATTTGTTACTATTTTGTTGGACTTTTGCATCTATATTCATAAGTGATATTGCTCTGTAGACTTATAAATGATATTGGTCTGTAGATTTCTTTTTTTGTGGTATCTTTTGTGGTTTTGGTATGACTCTGGTCTCATAAAATGAGTTGGGAAATCCTTTTTTATTGGAAGAGTTTGTGAAGAATTTGCATTCTTTTTTTTCTTTTCCCCCGTTTTGGTCTACTTCAGAGGTGAAGCCTTCTGGACCTTTTGCTTTTTTTTTTTCTGGGTAGTTTTTTTGATTTCTAATTCAGTCTCTTCAGTTATAGGTCTATTCACATTGTCTATTCTTTTTTTAATATGTTTTTATTTAATTAATTAATTTTATTTTTTAAAAAATATATCTTTAGTGATTTCAGAGAGAGGAAAGGAGAGGGAGAGACAGAAACATCAATGATGAGAGAGTCATTGATCGAGCCCGCAACCCGGGCATGTGCCCTGACCGGGAATCGAACCCCGATCGCCTGGATCCCAGGTCGACGCTCAACTGCTGAGCCACGCCCGGCCGGGCTTAATATGTTTTTTAAAAATGTATCTTTATTGATTTCAGAGAGAGGAAGGGAGAGGGAGAGAGAGATTTAGAAACATCAGTGATGAGAGAGTCATTGATCGGCTGCCTTCTGCACACCCCTCACTGGAGATGGAGCCCGCAACCTGGGCATGTGCCCAGACTGGGACTCGAACTGTGACCTCCTGGTTTATGAGTCGATGCTTAACCACTGAGCCATGTTGGCTGGCTGGGTAACATTGTCTGTTCTTGAGTCAGTTTCAGTAGGTTTTCCAATTTTTTTGGTGTACAATTGTTCATGATATTTCTTTATAATCTCCTTTTTAAAGTAGTTAGTGACATCCCCTCTTTAATTTTTGATTCTAGTATTTGAGTCTTCTCTTTTTCTTGATTAATTTAGTCTAAGCTTTCTCAATTTTGTTCATCTTTTCAAAGAATTACAGTTGGCTCTCTGTATTGCCTCTGTGGATTCAACCAAACGTGGATGGAAAATTTTTGGGGGAAAAAATGTTATGTTGTCCCACTGGTGTGGCTCAGTGGTTGAGCATCGACCTATGAACCAGGAGGTCACAGTTCGACCCACGCTCAATCCCCAGTAGGGGGTGTGCAGGGGGCACCCGATCAGTGACTCTGTCTCATCATTGATGTTTCTATCTTTCCCTCTCTCTTCCTCCCTCTGAAATCAATCAAAACATATTTTAAAAAAATTAAAAAAAATGTTTTGTTGTTGGTAATGTGTACTATGTAGTTAGGCCTGTGATGGTTGGGTCTGTGCTGAATATAGAGTTTTGTGTTTTTTTCTCGTTATCTGTAAACAGTACAGTATAACAACTGTTTATGTAGCATTTACATTGTATGAGGCATTATAAGTAAACCTAGAGATGATTTAAAATATATGAGAGGATGTGGGTGAGTTAAATGCAAATACTACACCATTTTATATAAGGGACTTGAACGCTCAAAGATTTTGTTATTTGCAGCGGGTTTTGGAACCAATCCCCTGCTGTTTGTAAGGGACCACAATAGGTTTTGCTGACTTTTCTCTCTTTTTTTTCTATTCCCTGCTTCATTAATTTCCTCTCTAATCTTTATTTCCTTCTCTGTGCTTTCTTTAGGTTTAGTTTGCTGTTACTTTTACAGTATCTTTTGGTGAAGGGAAATATAATTTATTAATAGTATGGTTTTATTTTTAATAGAAGATGAAGCTTAAAATTTCTTTTAGGAGACTAAACCTTAGACAGTTATAGTAGGGAATGTTTTGATACCAGACTACTCTTTTTTTTTTTTTAAATTTAATGCTTTATGAGAAGGGATTAGTGTGTCAAAAGAGTGATTTTAGTCAGAAAACTCTTCTAGGAATAAATTAATGTGGGTAATATATTAGGAATACTGTCATGCATCATAGATTGAAAAATGGGTGTGTGGAGTTGTAGGTATTAGTGTTCTGTTTGATAATGTACTGAAGAGATAAATAATGTTTTTATTTCTTCTCTTTTAAGATAAAATCAGTGGTTCTGGAAATAACTCTGATATGATGGAAAACAGCAAGGAAGAGGTAAGAATAATTTGAAACATTTAAGAACTTGCTAATAACAACTAGAGTAATGCCATCAGATTGCTTCTATTTAATTCATGCACGTTTTTAATTTACTGTTATACCCAAGTATTATGATACTTCATTTTGGGTAGTTGTTCATTTTTAGAAGATATTTTTTGATTTTGTTATTATTATGGTTCAGCAGTATACCAAAAGTCAGACAATTGAAGGCTTGCTAACAGGTTTTTGAACATTATTATATTGGAACAGTGGTGCTCAAGGTGGTTGTTACAGGCAAAACTTCATGGTTCTGAGATCTCTCAAAACTGGATATTCAGAGTCTCTTACGCATTATTATAGGAACCCATCGTGATGTCCTTCACATGATACCTAGGCCTACACTATGGTTTTGGGATTCTTTTCACCTAATGTAAAATATTTAACCCAGTAAAATGTACTTATTATATTTGCAAAGTGAGGGTAAATTTAGTATCTCAAAGAAAATTGTAGAAGGTACTCTGTACCATAATTAGGATAGAGAAAATGACACATTTTTAGATTCTTAAAACTCCCTACCTCTGTTGGGATCTGGTTACTTCTACATCTTTGTTTTTTCTTTGTTGACTTGGGCCAAGATTATGACACAGAAGCATATCCTCTCCCACCCCCTAAAATTTAACATTAACAATTTAATAAAAACTCAGAAAATTATCTTAAACCCAGGAAACCTGAGAGTAAATGAGAATTAGTTTTTAAAGTTCCTTTTAGAAAAATATTTTAGACATATATATATATCTATATCTATATATCTATATATATATATGTATATATATCTCATTATATCACTATGTCAGAGGTCTTGGCTTAGAGAACTAGTAAATTGTGGGGTGTTTTTTGAAAGTTTTACTCACCTCTGTATTTATTTCTCACATTTAGGGAGCTAGCTCTTCAGGAAAATCCAAATCATCAGGATCATCACGATCAAAGAGGTTGGTTGATGTTGAAGGGAAAAAAGTTACTTTCCTTTTCAAGTTGTATTTTTCTCCTAAGAATAATAATCTTTTTTTCTAAACTTACTTCACTCTTGTTTTAAGTGAACTATTTTATACAAACATATATTAAAATGGGCAGTATAGTATAGTGAATCCTCTTATATTTATCACTTGACTTCAATTATTAATTCATTCTGACTGAAATTTTAATTGAATTTTCTGAGCAGGAATTATTAGGTACCAGTGGCCCTTACAATATGTAGATCACTTCTTTTAGATCATATATGTGCTTTGAAAAAGGAGGAAAAAGGAAATGAAATATTAAATGCATTATGAGGCAGTATGGGTTTTTTAGGGTTATGTGAAATTATCTAGGATTGGGAAGTGATAGCCATTATAGTTAAGAGTAATTTATAAGGAGATCAAATAATGGTAGAAATAGTTTTCTGTGTAAAATTGTTAGTGAATTGTACATATGACAAACTATTTATAAGCATACTATAACGCATAACACATTGTGCAGTATAGTTTTTATAGAAGTTTTCAGTTTATTTTATTGGACTTTTGTTGTTTCTAACAAGTGGGGATGTCTCTCTTGTTTTAAACTGTCCTCTTCTGAAGCATTTGAGATCTTTTTAAAATTTTATTTATTGATTTTTAGAGAGAGAGGGAGGGAGAGAGAGAGGGAGAAGGAGGGAGAGAGAAGAGGGAGAGAAAAGAGAAAGAGAGTGAAAGAAACATTGACTCATTGCTCCACCCATTCACGCATTCGTTGGTTGATTCCTGTATGTGCCCTGACTAGGGATCTAACCTGCAACCTTGGTATATCTGGATGACACTCTAACCAACTGACCTACCTACCTGGCCAGGGTGGGAATGTCTCTTAATAAACACAGCTTGTTATTAACTTATTCTCTAAAGTGGTACCTCGGTTTTCGAACACCTCCGTGGACGAACATTTCCGTTTATGAAAGCTGTAAACCTGGAAGTATATGATTTGGTTTTCACCATGCCTCGGAAGTTGATCATGCCCAGCTGAGTGCAAGGTCCTGAGGCCTAGCTGTTGGGTGTGGATCCCTCAGTTTTTGAACGTTTTAGAACTCGAACTGTCTTCCAGAACAGGGTACATTCGAAAACCGAGGTACTACTGTAGTGCTTTTTAACCAGGAGTTCTCTTCATAATCCCTTGGTAGCTTTTTTCAATGCACATGTTCTGGTCCTACCTACTGAATTGTAATCTTCAGTAATATGGAATAGAGATGTATGCTTCCCTAGGTGATTTTGATGTGTATCCCTCCTTAAGAGCCACTGCTCAATCTAAACCTGTTATTTATATTCTTTGGGTGTTGTTCCAATTGTTGGAAGTGTCCATAATTCTATGGACGTAATTTTTTCATAGGAAACCTTCAATTGTAACAAAGTATGTAGAATCCGATGATGAAAAGCCTTTGGATGAGATTCTAAATGAAGATGCTTCCAATGACAATTCAGAAAATGATATTACTATGCAAAGCTTGCCAAAAGGTAATGTGTATTAATTTTTCATATAAATTGAAATTGAAATGTATTTTTAAAAATCATCATTATAAAATTGGAACTTGATTACTGTTAGCTGTGTGTAAAGGACCAACCTGATACTTTAATAGTGATGAAAATGTATTAGTATGGTAATGATAATGTGTGTTATTGAGGTTAAAATTTAGAATATTCAGTCAGCTTTGAAAAGAACAAAACTTATTTTCTTTCTATTGGGTTTTAGAAAAGGGATTTTAGTTTTCATCATACTTGATTGTGGAAGTTGGTTTAAAAGTTTAATATATTAGGTTTTGGTTCAGTAAATTTTAATGTGCTCGCTTTATAGAAAGACATAATGGATATTCTGAAGACTTTTTAACAAAAACATTTAAAATTGAGTTTAGTAAAAAGGGGACATCTGTAATACTTTCAACAATAAAGATAAATAAAAACAACAACACAGTTTAGTCTTACTGTATTCTTAAATTCCCTAAGACTCAAAGGTGAAGTTAACTATTAAAGATAGATTTAGGTATATTTTTTGTAATTATCCCTTTAAAAAGCCTTGTCACATAGCTCTCAACTGTTGCAGTTCTAACCTTAAAACCTCATTAATTAGATGGGACAAAAAGGCTAAATGAAAATCTTGAACTTTTCATGGTCCAAGTTTGAGAGCAGAATGATAACCTGATGAGAGAATGACAAGGGTCTTGCTAATTTTACAGTGTTTCAGAGTCAAAAGTTTAGATTTTTTTCTTTATTAAATGGTTTATGGCTCCTAGAAGATTTTTCAAATATATTCTGACAGCAGTGTTTAGTAAATTTTGTTCTCTGCCTGTACTTACATTTTTATGACACATTTTTTGATTACGGAAATTTAAAAAAAATGATGGGTAAGAGGATAAGACATTGCTTGACTAAGACAAATTAGAAGTTACAGTAGCTGAGGAATGAAGTGAGGGAAAAGGAATAAATGAGAGAAAGAAGGTAGAAGGAAAATTGATGGGCCTACCATTTACATGGTTTTGCAAATCATCTATGACAATATTATATAATGGTTTTCGTGGCCAAGGGCAGAAACAACTACCATGGGAGTCTGAGTCCTATAAGCAGCATCCCACTTTGGATTGCTACATTGTCAGTGGTTGTCACTGGGAGTCTTTATGATGGCCACTGGGTAAGCTAAGAACTAGGAATTCAAATTTTTCCTTTAATGTTGTGGGAGAAAGTTAGTATGGGATGTTACTAACTTGACCTAAGCATAACGCTCTCCCACAAAATCAGAAATAAACTAATTCCATAAGGTTAAATTCGGGTGATTATAATTATTGTTAATAATTCTATATTGAGTGTGTATAGATACCAGATTCTTAAAAAATTTACTCATTTAATCCTCAAAACAGTGCTGTAAGGTAGTTATTGTTTCTACTTGTAGAGATGAAGGAACAAATTCAGAGCTCAAGGAACTTTTTCAGCTTTAAATTGAGAAGCTAAGATTTGAACCCAGGTCTGCCTGAATCCAAAGCTAGTGAGTGCTCTTTCCACTCTGGTGCTTTGCTTCCATTTAGAGGAGAAACTTCAGAAAGAATTCTATTATTTTTTTGTTAGTTATAAATCTTTAGCTTTTTTCAAGTGCTGGGGCTTCTCTGAGGGTATATACGTGAAATGGTTGTTGTTAAGTTGGTTTTTTTTGGGAGATTATGTAAATTCACCACTTTATAAAAACTCAATCCTCTGTGCCCTCTTTTCCCTTTTTCTCAGACACTCAGAAATTCATTTAACTACATTGCTATTCCTTGCAAAAATCTGCTTGCTGAATAACAGACACATGGTTCAGGGGAATGGCCCCTGACTACCAGGCTTTACTTTCTTAATTGTTGCCAGTAATGCCCAATTACTAAACCCAGCAATGTAGATAAATGTGAGACCTCGACTCTTTTTCTATACCCCTGCTTTATTTATTCTTGAGAGATGATACTGAAAACTTAAATTAACAACCTCTGTCTTCAGTGTACATGTTTTATAGCTAAGAAAGTACATTCTTTCTAAAATATTTCCATAGGGAGTAACAATGTCATTCTAGTTTATTGTTAGAGCACTTGAGCTTAAGTATGTTAAAGAAACCTTCTGTCTGAAACTCTTTAAGGACTTTGTAGGGTACTGAAACTTTGACATATACTAGTTGGGAAAGGCCTCAGAATAAGTACAGCAATAATAGCAGAATTAACTTCTCACATTGCCCCTCATTATTCTCATCCAAAGCAATATAAAACAACTCTTAAAAGTCTTTTTCTCACTTTGTAAGTTATATAAATGTCTAACCACTGTGTTTTACAGCTGAAAATAATATAATATTGAATGTCAACTGTAATTGAGAAATAAAACCTCAAAAAAATCTTTTTCTGAGTTTTTGATTTGGGTTATGAGACAAATAGAATATCTTTTTAAAATTTCCTGTCTGGTCATTTTATTTTATAAATTATGGAACTTAACTTGGATTTCCTATTCAAAATAGCTTTTGTGATAGGCACTATAAAAATTTAGAACTGGGCTGAGACTTTCTGCTTTATTCACACATTTATGTTATAATTAGTTCATAATACCTCCCTCCCCCATTTTTATGAGCTATATTCCAAAAAGTAATCTGATTGTTGACACCTGGCCCTTTTACTATTTCCCTGTTTTATTTTCTCTTGAGAGATCCCTATATAAGTATTGAAAGCTTAAAAGAAACAAAACTATGTACCAGCAATGTTGGCTTTATCTGAACTGAAGTCTTGTACTTCACTTGCACATTTAATATGTGTAATGGTTTTTTAAATGAAATCATTCTAGGTACAGTGATTGTACAACCAGAGCCAGTGCTGAATGAAGACAAAGATGATTTTAAAGGGCCTGAATTTAGAAGCAGAAGTAAAATGAAAACTGAAAATCTCAAAAAACGCGGAGGTAAATACAAGTGAAAATGAAAACATGAGTTTAAATTGCTGTTTATGACCATATTAGAAAATCTGATGTGCTTACTAAAAATACCTCCACTTTTCTGCCCATTGTTTATTAAAAGCACTACTTAAAAATAACTTCTGTTTCTGTCTGAGCTCTGAAGCAGAAAAGGTTAATACCATTTATCAAAACACCTTTGCCTTCAGTGGCTATTAAGTTATTTTAAGAAGCTTAGAATTTTCTTCTTGCACATGTTAGTTAGTTCTGTATTGCCTATATGCCAGAATACTATGCGTTCTCTCACCTCAAAATAATTTTAGATTTGGACAAAATCTTGCCTGTGGCCTTCACGTAACTTTATACACATCTAAAACATTGTTTCACAGAATGATGGACATCTGCGTTACTGTTACCTGGGGTACTTTTTAAAAATTCAAGTCCCTTGACTCCATTCCAAACAAATTAGAATTTCTGGGCATGATGTCAGAAACATGCCTCAGTTCCCTCTTATGTACATTAAAGTTGGAGATCTATTGATCTAAGGATAGCAATGCAGAGATCAGTAGAAAAGACATGGGAGCTAAAGTTGGTGACCTTTCCTACATCTGTCTGAGCCTGTTCTTCCTTTGTCTGTCTACTCTCACTTATACACACCATTATATTGGCTTATCACCTGTAGAAAGTTAGCATAAGGAGGATTCATTTAGAAATTTATGACAGTGGAGTATGTATCCCACTTATTTGTGATTTTTAAATAGTGCCTATATGTATTTTGGGGGCATATTAACAGACCCAGAATCTATGACTATAAAAGTAATGAATTTCTAAAAGATAGAACATGACACTAAATTTCTGAGTAGAAGTGTAATGGAAGTGTGTCTGTTTAATATTTTTCATTGTGAAATTATGGCATGGTTCTTATATTGGTGAAATTTTCTCTAGATTTTTATTTCAATGCTATATGATTATCTTGATAGGACTAGTAAAACATCTGTATTTATAAAATAAATATTATCACTTTTCAGGTAAATAATTTATTAGTTGTTGGAGAAAATCAAGAAAATGTTGTTCAGTTTTTTGTCCACAATGGGGTGTTCTATCCCTTTCAAACATAAGGAAGATTTATTGAGAATCTAGTTCATAGAAGGGTAATTGCTGTTGAAGCAACAAAACTCACCAAAGCTAAGTAGTGTTCTTAAAACAAGAGGATCCGCAAGTAGAAGGTGATGGTAAGGACCGATAGCAAGAATTTCTTTTTTTCTGATCATGAGTCCTCTAGAGAAGACACATAATTAAGTGTACTGCCCTGTTTTAAAATTAATATATCTAAATGGTGTCTTCTGGGGAGGGACTCTGGAGCGCTCAGTGTTTGAAATGTGGATAAGGGCTGAAAGGAAAATAAAAAAAGAACCAAAGTTGTTGGGGAGGGTGTTCCTAGTGCCACTTTGCTATGCTGCTGGTATTTGGTCTGAGTTGATAAGTTTCTGGAGCATTTTATTGAGTGTTCTATGTAAGAATGTTTGCTTATATTGTGCTTAAGGAAATACCTATGTTTATGGCCATATAGTAGCACTTAAATCTTGCATGTTAATTTTTGTCTTAATTATTTGCTATATCTTTAAGCTGTCAGAAATCACACAAGAAATTTAACTATGTTTACTTAGTTTACACTTGTATGAATAAACTAGTGATCGGAGGTACTGAATTGCTAGTTAATATTCAGACTTGCAAGGAAAGTTTGTTCTAAAATCAAAGCCTAATTTAGGAAAACGTGAAGAATGTAAACTTTATATGAAATATTCTTATGTTGATTTGAAACAAAATTAAACACAAAGATATAGCTATATTGACCAGTTTAGGAGCCACTGTTTTTTAAATACCATAGCCTGTTTTGACATCCTTTTCCCAGTTTAACTGTTTGAAAATATACTTTACACCTGATTTTTCTATATTTCACATTAATTTTGTTTTCTCTTTAAAACTATTAAAATATATTGAGCTGAAAAATAAAAATGCCTCCTTTTTATTTACATACTGTATTATAATCATTAAGATATTTTGTAACTAAAAGTAAAAATTTTAAACACATATTGAAACAAGTACATATAAAGCAAAGGAACATTTCAGTATTTTACAATATTTGCTTCAGATCTCACTTAAATAAAATATTGGTTTAGTCCTACTCTCATCAATTTCCCTTTCCTACCACCCCTCAGGTAATGATTATCTTGAAGTTTGTATGCATATGTGTGTGTGTGTATCATTTCCATGCATGTTTTTATATTTTTTCTATACATATATTCATAAAGCATTTATTTTTCATTTAAACATATACGAAATAGTATGTTGTATATATCCTTTTGCAACATTTTCCATTCATCATTGTTTTTGAAATGTATCCATGTCAGTAAATGTACATCTAGTTTTTAAAATTTTTTACCGCTCTCTAGAATTCTGTTGTATGAGTAAACCACTATCCATTTCCCAAATGTGAAGTTATTTCCAGTTTTTTGTTTTCAAATTTTTCTAATTTCTTAATTAGTGGTACGATTCCTTGTGTACATGTGGGAGAAACCCTTCAACGTATCACCTAGTTTTGTTTAATTCTTGAGTTATATATGTGCAAAAAGCACATAGAAGATGCTTAATAAATATTATCTAACACTGGATGAACATTCAAACTCTAGCTTATATTTATCTTGTTAGTTTATCCAAATGCAATTATTTTAAATGGAAAAGCACACTGTATATTTATGTTAAAACATACAAAATATATGAATACTCAAGATCAAACACAATATGATTTAAAATACAGTATTAGCAGCTTATGTAGTAAGTCGTCAAATTCTCTATATTGTCTGGAAAGTATGATGGTGCCCTTATACATTGGACAAACTTTTTTAACCTCTGCAAAATAAAAATATTTGTGATAATGTTTGGGTCCATAAGTGCTTTGGACCTTAAAAGTAAGAAAGCAAAATAGGAAATTAAAAGGTGAAAAATGTTTTGTTGTTTTGTCTTTTATTTAGGGAGAGAGACAGAGTTTGTAATTTTTTTTTTAGTTTCCCTTTTATTTGTGAATTCGGGCATTTTCACTGGCTTCTTTTGAATCATAATCTGCCTTCTTCCTTCCATCAAGGTCTTGGTTGCACATCAGAATCATCCATAAAAATTTTTAAAAAATTTAGGATATTTCCATTCAGTGGTTTAGGGGTGGGGATGACTATCTCTGTTTTAAAATGATTCATCTGATTATTCTAATGTTTAGCTCATTGTGAATCACTGTCCTAAGCAGAACTAGGAATGAGAGTGAGGCAGTAGAGGCTTCCTCTTATTATTTGTTCCTTAGGTTATCTTCAGTCTGTTTTTCTGCAGACAGTGCCCAATGGGGCTGTCCCTTACTCCCTTCCTCCAACCATTCTGAGGTTTTGCTGCCAAGATAGGTGTACCTACAAGTCTTATTTGGAAATAGTCAGTGTCAATATGGAGTAGACAGTGGAATAAACATACAAAGAAGGCAGCTTAATGGGGATTGTGGATAATATTGAAGTAAATTGTAGGAAGAAATTGGTAATATAATATCAGGTTTTCACATCCTATATTGAAAGAAACTGCAGGCAATTCCATTTTGAGAATAAAACCTTTATGGCATACCCAACTTAAGTACAGGGTTGAAAAAGAATCTGTTCTTGCTTCTCAATTCTTTAAGATCTGATACTGAATTTATTTGTAAATTAATAGCAAAAAGAGTTCTCGACCCCTATTTTTAGAACTTCTTTTATGGAGTCTCCTCTTGTTATATCAAGTTGTTATGAGAAATAGGATCTGTATTTGTAAAAGGAAACAAGTTAGAATTTGTAGGTCTGGGATTTGCTAAGGTTGCTGTATTTTTAGTAAGTTCATAAAATTATTAACCTTTTTTACTTGTGTCCAAATGTCATTTTTCCAAGGATTATGAGGTATTTAAGTTCCAATACGAAAGTTGCAAAATTATGACTAATGTAAATATGTGTATATGTGTTAATAACGGTCACTCCTTTCTCCTAGAAGATGGGCTTCATGGGATTGTGAGCTGCACAGCTTGTGGACAGCAGGTCAATCATTTTCAAAAAGATTCCATTTATAGACATCCTTCCCTGCAAGTACTTATTTGTAAGGTATGTAATGATCTGTTGATAATTCATTCCACAAATAATTGAATGCTTACCATGTGTCAGACCTGGTGCACAGTGTTAAAACTTTGGTGCACAGTGCTGAAGAAGATGGAAATGGTCTCTGTCCTTAGAGGGCTAATATTGTAGTGGGGAAGACAGATAAAAACCCAGTTAATGCCATGGTAGGGGAGATATTGTGTACTATGGGAACACATAGGAAGCCTGTGTGATTTGGAGTTGGGTAGGGGGGCTTTATAATGAAGATGATATAAAATGGTATCTGAAATATAAATTGGAATTAGCCTGGCTTAGTGGCATTGGTTCAGTGTGTTCTAGGCAGAGGCAAGATGCTGTTCAAAGAGTGGTAATTAAGGGAGAGTGTAGTGTGTTGCAAAATCTAAAGAGTGTATGTACACACGTATGTTTTGTAACCTTTTATTCATGGGTAAGCATTAATTTCTTTAAATTTTTAATTTCAAAAAAATGCACATTTTTACATAGTTGAGATCAGACTGAATATACAATTTTATATCTTGACTGTTTTTTCTTAATAAATTATAAACATTTTCTTTTTTAATTGTATTTATTGGGATAACGTTAATAAATTATATAAGTTTCAAGTATACAATTTTATAATACATCATCTGTAAATTGTATTGTGCATTCACCACTGAAAGGGAAGTCTCCTGCCATTACCATTTATCTCCTCCTTCACCCTCTTCTACCTGCCGCCACCTACCTTTTCCTCTGGTAATCACCCTATTGTTGTCTGTGTCTATGAGTTTTGTTTTTTTTGCTTAATCTCTTCACCTATGTCACCCAGTCCCCCTACCCTCTGATAGGTGTCAGTCTGTTCTCTGTGTCTATGAGCGTTTCTATTTTGTTTGTTTATTTTGTCCATTAGATTCCACATTTAAGTGAGATCATATGGTATTTGTCTTTCTCTGACTGGCTTATTTCACTTAGCCTAATACCCTCTAGGTCCATCCATGCTGTCATAAAAGGTAAGATTTCCTTGTCTTTTATGGCTGAGTCATATTCCATTGTGTAAATGTACCACAGCTTTTTTCTCCATTCATCTCCTGATGGGCACTTGAGCTACTTCCAAATTTTGGCTATTGTAAATAATGCTGCAGTGAACATGAGGTACATATATTCTTTCGAATCAGTGTTTTGGGTTTCTTTGAATATATTCCCAGAAGTGGAATCACTGGGTCATAAGGCAGTTCCATTTTTAATTTTTTGAGGAAACTCTATACTGTTTTCCACAGTGGCTGAACCAATCTTCATTCCTACCAACAGTGCACAAGGGTTCCCTTTTCTCCATATTCTTGCAAACACTTGTCATTTGTGGATTTATTGATCATAGCCAGTCTGAAAGGTGTGAGGTGACATCTCATTGTGGTTTTACTTTCCATTTTTCTAATGATTAGTGACAATGAGCATCTTTTCATATGACTATTGGCCATCCTGTATGTCCTCCGTCTATTCAGGTCTTTTGCTTATTTTAAAAATTGGATTCTTTGTGGGTTTTTTTTGATGTGGAATTGAGTTCTTTATAAATTTTGGTATATTTACTCCTTATCAGGTGTATCATTGGCGAATATGTTCTTCCATTCAGTAGGTTGTCTTTCATTTGTTGAAGGTTTCCTTTGCCGTGCAAAAACTTTTTAGTTTTATGTAGTCCCATTTGTTTATTTTTTCTTTTGCTTCCCTTGGCTGAGGAGACACATCAGAAAATATATTACTAAGAGATGTCTGAGATTTTGCTGCCTATGTTTTCTCCTAGGATTTTTATGGCTTGGGTCTAACATTTAAGTCTTTAATCCATTTTGAGTTTATTTTTGTGTATGATGTAAGGAGTTGGACTAGCTTCATTTTTTTGCATGTATCTGTCCATCTTTCCCAACACCATTTATTGAATAGACTGTTTTTTACCTCATTGTATTTTCTTGTATTTTATGGTCAAGCTTTTTTAATTGACCATAAAAGCTTGCGTTTATTTCCAGAACTGGATTTTATTCCATTGATCTATATGTGTTTTTATGCGACTACCACGCTGTTTTGAATACTATGACCTTGTAGTATAGTTTGATATCAGGTAGCATGATTCCTCCAACTTTGTTCTTCTTTCTCAAGACTTTTGTTGCTATTCTGGGTTTTTTGTGATTCCATATAAATTTTTGGAATATTTATTCTAGTTCTCTGAAATATACCATTGGTATTTTTTTAATATGTTCTTTTTTTGATTTTTGAAGAAGGGAGAAGGAGAGAGAGATAGAAACATCAATCATAAGAGAGTGTCATTAATAGGCTCCCTCTTGCATGCCCCCTAGTGGCGATTGAGCCCACAACCCAGGCATGTGCCCTGGTGGGTAATCGAACCTGTGACCTCTTGGTTCATGGGTTGATGCTCAAGTACTGAGCCGCATCCGCCGGGATACACCATTGGTATTTAGATAGGGATTGTTTTGAATCTATAGATTGCTTTAGTTAGTATGGACATTTTAATGATGTTATTTATTCCTATCCATGAACATGGTATATGCTTCCGTTTATTTGTATTTTACTCAATTTCAGTCTTCAGAATCTATACTTTATGTTTCAATTTATCTTTATTGTTGAAAATATTACAAAATGTCCCCTTTTCCGTCCATTGATTCCCTCTACCCTGCCTCCCCTAGGCCTTCACCACACTATTGTCTGTGTCCATGGGTTTTGCATATATGCACATAACTTCTTAGGTTAATCTCTCGCAACCCACCCATCGCCACCTTCCCTCTGAGATTCATCCATCTGTTCCATGCTTCTGTGTCCTTGGATTTTGCATATATGCATATAAGTTCTTAGGTTAATCTCTCCCCACCCACAACTGCCATCCGTCTGAGATTCGTCAATCTGTTCCATGCTTCTGTATCTCTGGATCTATTTTGTTCATCAGTTTATTTTGTTCATTAGATTGCACATGTGAGTGAGATCATGTGACACTTATCTTTCACTGACTGGCTTATTTTGCTTAGTGTAATACTCTCCAGGTCCTACCATGCAGTCTCATAGGGTAAGGGATTCTTCTTTTTTACAGCTGCATAGTATTCTATTGTGTAAATGTCTGAGAAGACGCTTGATATGATTTCAGTCTTCTTGAACATGTAGAGACTTGTTTTGTGTCCTAGCATGTGGTCTGTCTTTGAGGATGTCCAATGTGCACTTGAAGAGAATGTATATTCTGTGGCTTTGGGGTGAAATGTTCTGTAAATATCAATGAAGTCCATCTGATGTAGTGTGTCATTTAGAATCACTGTGTCCTTGTTGATTTTTTGTCTGGAAGATCTATCCAGTAAAGTCAGTGGGATGTTAAAGTCCCCTACTGTGGCTGTATTGCTGTCGATTTCTCCTTTAAAGTCCTCCAGAAGTTTTTTGTTTTTACCCCCAGCCTGTGTGAGTCTTTTGTTCTGAGGTGAGTCTCTTGTAGGCGGCATATATTTGGGACTTGTTTTCTTATCCATTCAGCTACTATATGTCCTCAGATCAGAGTATTTAATCCATTTATATTTAAGGTTATTATTGATAGGTACTTATCTATTGCCATTTTATTTCTTTATGCCTATGTTTCTCATTCTCTCTATTTCAGCTGCTTTTTCAGCAGTCCCGTTAACATTTCTTGCAGTGCCAGTTTGGTGGTGACAAACTCTTAGCTTTTTTTGGTCTAGGAAGCTCTTTATTTGACCATCTATTTTGAATGATAGCCTTGCTGGATTGAGTAGCCTTGGTTTCAGATCCTTGTGTTGCATTGCCTTGAGTACTTCATGCCATTCCCTTCTGGCCTGTAAAGTTTATGATGAGAAATTGGCTGACAGCCTTATGGGAGCTCCTTTGTAGGTAACAGATTGCTTTTGTCTTGCTGCATTTAAGATTCTCTCTGTGTCTTGAATTTTTGGCACTTTAATGATGATTTATCTGGGCGTGGGTCTCTTTGGGTGCTTCATGCTTGGGACTCTCTCTGCCTCATGATCTTATGTCACATTTTCCTTGACCAGGTGACAGAAATTTTCTGCCATTATTTCTTCAAACAGGTTCTCTAACCCTTGCTTACTTTTGACCTCCTCTGCCCTTTCTATGATGGGAATATTGTTATGTTTCATGTTACCCCACAGATCCCTTAGACTGTCCTCCTGTTTTTTAATTGTTTTTTTCTTTTTGCTTTTTTGATTAAGTTTTTTTACCCTGTCTTCTAATTTGCTCCTCTGATCTTCAGTTTCTACTAATCTGCTGTTTATTCCTTCTAATGTTTTTTTCCCCTACAGTTTCATTTTTAATTTCCTTCATAGTTTCCATTTATTTTCTCATGCTGTTGAGCATCCTTATGATCAGTATTCTGAACTGTATATCTGATATATTGCTTATCTCCATTTCATTTAGCTCTTCTGGAGAATTCTTTTGTTCTTTCAGTTGGGGCTTGTTATTTTTCTTTCCTCATTTTGGCTGCTTGTTTGGATTAAAAAAATTTTTTTATTAGGTATCTCTACTAGGACTTACAGTTGTTTGGATGGTCTCTGGTGCAAGCCAGTGTCATATGATGTTTGTGACTGACCTTGAGTACCCTTTTTGAAGTTTTGTGTACTCCACAGCTTGTGGTTCCCTCTGTTGGGGCTGGGTGGGTTTGGAAAGGACCAATATGCCCACCAAGGTCTGCTTTCCCAAATCCTGGATCCAAAAGCAAATCAGACAAAGACTCAAAACACCTGGAGGCTGATTGTTGTTCAGTCTCTTAATGAGCCTCAGGCTGTGGAAACTCCACGTGGTAGGGCGACTGATTGTTATTCAGTTACCCCCCCCCTTTTTTTTTAATCAATTCCCCAATTATGCATCTTAAATCAGAATTATAAGGTCAATCTACTAAATATTTTATTTGTCAGCCTCTTTTATTAAAAAAAAAAAAATTATCTCTATTGATGGAAATAATGCAGATGTCCCCCCTCCCCCCATTGATCCCCTACACACCTGGTTCCCCCGTACTCCCAGGCTTTCTGCAGTTTTTAATGAGCCTCAGGCTGTAGAAATTCCACAGGGTGGGGCAAGAGGTTTTCCAGCAGGGTGGGACAATTGCTTCCCCCAGACAAAAGCTGCTTGGAATGTAAATGTCTGCCTGAGAAAGATGTCCTCTGCCATATGTGAGAATGACCCAGTACAGGAATCCAGATGGCTGACCTCTGAGGTCTATCCCTAGAACCAGCATCCCTGGATTCTTCTCACACAGCTCTAGTCCACTCTGCCCCCCTTCTCCCAGAGCCCAATGTGAGTGGCTACACAGGAAACTTTTTGTGTTGGCCCTTTAAGGGGCTGCCTGCATTTCCAGCTGTCTCTCCCTTGCAGACAAACCCTACTCTTTTTCACAGGCAGATGTTATGTGGGCTACTTTCTCAGTTCTGGTGCTCTAGGCTGGGAACCCCAGCCTGGGGTTTAGGCCCCAGAGTTTTCAGTGGGAACCCCTCACAGCTGAGTTACCCCTTTAGGCCTTTAGCTGTTGCCTGAGAGAGCCCAGCAAACCCTCTCATGTCTTGACACTTCCTATCCGCCTCTATGCACTCTCTGCTTTACATCCTCGGTTTTCATGATGCTCTCCAGCTAGCCTTCAGTTGATTATTCAGGATGGTTTTTCTATATTTTAGTTGTAATTCCAGTTTGGTCCTGGGAGAGTGTCTGTGTAGCTTCCACTCAATCTGCCACCCTGTCGTCAGTCTTATGGCCAGTATCTATAACTTTTTGGGTACATGTGTTTTACCTGCTTGGTTAAATTTATTCCTAGGCGCCTTATTTTTCTGTTAGGATTGTTTTCTTACTTTCTCTTTTTGATAGTTTATAATAGTGTATAAAAATGACACCCATTTCTGATTATTCATTTTGTGTCATGCTATTTTACTGAATTCATTTTATTAGCTCTGGTAGATTTTTCGTGGAATCTTCAGGGTTTTCTATATACAGTGTCATATCATCTGCAATAATGACAGTTTTACTTCCTCCTTTCCAATTTTGATAGTGTTTATTTTTTCTTCTTGTCTGATTACTATGGCTAGGACTTCTAGTACTGTGTTCAATAAGAGTGGTTAAAGTGGACATTCCTGTCTTGTTCCTGATCTTAAGGGAAATTCTTTTAATTTATGCTTGTTGAGTATGATGTTGGCTGTTGGCTTATCATATATTGCCTTTATTATGTTGAGCTATGTTCTCTCTCTATGGATGAGATTTTTTAAATTATAAATGGGTTCTGGATTTTATCAGATGCTTTTTCTACATCCATTGATATGATCATGTGATTTTTATCCTTCATTTTGTTTATGTGGTGTATCACATTTATTGATTTGTGAATATTGTACCAACCTTGCATTCCTGAAATAAATTCCACTTGATCATGGTCTATGATCTTTTATTTATTTTATTTTTATTATTATTATTATTTTTTATTTTTAAAAAAAATATATCTTTATTGATTTCAGAGAGAGGAAAGGAGAGGGAGAAAGAGAGATAGAAACATCAATGATGAGAGAGTCATTGATCGACTGTAGCCCACAACCCGGGCATGTGCCCTGACCGGGAATCGATCCCTGATTGCCTGGATCCTAGGTCGATGCTTAACCGCTGAGCCACGCCCGGCCGCGCTGGTCTATGATCTTTTAAATGGAAGTGGTTTGCTAATATTTTGTTGAGGATTTTTTCAGGTATATTGTCCTAAATATCACTTTTCCTCTTATGTAACCTAAGTACCCAAATCTATAGTCTTCGTGGAGCATGGTTTTGACACAACTTGAAGATAATGGAATTAAAAATGTTTAATATCGGTTGAAGATACTTTTAACAGTTTATGTACAGTTTTTAAAATGAGTAGTACTTTGGAGTTTATTTTAATTATCTATAATACCAAGGTTATGGTTCCCCCAACACATATTAACTGTTAAGATTACTCCTGTGTTAGTTTGCTTTGCAATAAACTGTCTCCTTGAAATGCAGGGTCATACCAGAGTTCTAGGGCTAGATTTTTTTTTTTATGCATTTTTGATAGATATAGACCTACTTAAATGTAGTAAATTTTTTTCCTTTAGCAATTTGTGTCCCTCCTTTACTTGAATTAAGTTCAGCCAGGAGCCTATGTACAGTACATGTTGTAGCCTCTAGTTTTTCATTTGGACAGCTGAAATTCAAATTGCCGAATTTGTAATGTGCATTCCAATTCTCTTTTCTTATATATCTGATTGATTTTTTTACCCCCAAGGGCCAGTCTGTTGAACTTAGTCCATTTCAGTAATAAATAGTTTTCACCAGTGGATGTGGAACTTTCCCTTTATCCTTTCCCAGTAAAAGTAACTTAGTGTCAGTCAGACTTGCATTTGAATGCTAGCTTTGCCTCTTACTAGTGTAGTGGTATGCCTTTAGAAGACTTATTCACTTTTTTTTTTTTTTTT